GCTACTATGGGCTCCTGGCCGTAGTACTAGGAGCAAGGAAGCTACTAAGAGCAAGGACGCTATTAGGGGCTCCTAGCATCGCTACTAGGAATAAGAAGCTACTAGGGCCTAGGGGCTCCTGGCCCTACTACTAGGAGCAAGGACGCTACTAGGAGCAAATAGAAAGTGACGCGTCGATAGACCCACTTGGAACCTGGAATCCGACAGCCCGAGCCGGTTCCCAATGCCTCACCATGTGTTTCTTACTCTCCAATGTGGAAAGGATGGCAAAGGGGCACCCAGTCCCTCCTCCACCCAACTGCCCAGCGCCTGTCCGAACTTCCCGCGTTGGTTGGTCACCGTCGGATGCTTCCATGTGACCTTCTGTGTTGACATGTTGACGTAGTAGTGTCGACCTTAGTGTCGACCATGCGGCCAGTGTTCCATGCATGACTTGGGTCGTCACGCCTGCGTTCATCCACAAGCTAAGAATCCATCCCAAATGCTCATCCCAGTGCTCCTGCCACGGTCATTCACACCCAAGCCCTCAAGGCATGTCGTGAATTGAACAGCTAAGGGTGGCCTCCCATCCTTCTGGAACTTCTAGTCTCAAATTGGCTGCTTTCACCTGCGCGCAAGGCGTAATGATGCCAAACTCTGATGATTGCCGTGTGAGACAAATCTTGAAAGCACGGTCCTTAGATTCCAAAAGTTGTTCACCAGCCTTCTTGACATCATTGTTGATGCTCAAACGAACCTGTAGCAGCTTAAGCCGGCGCGCAAATGAGACGCACATCCCTCTTACACATCGTGGCCTCATACCGCTCGGTGTCCTTGTCCCAGCAAACGACAATCGCCTGGAAACGGTGCATCGTGGGCTCAGGGGACTCAGGCTTTTCTTCCATGCAGCACCCACACCAGCCAGTTTTGTGTTTCATTCTTCCATGCTGGTTCGTTCCAATGCTTGATTTTTGGGGTCCAACCTTTCCCATGGGAGTCAGGTGAGAAAAAACTGCCTTCTGACCGTTCATCCACTTGGCCGCATCGCTTTGAAGGCCACTGATTTCAACCTCTGAAGGCCACTGCTGGCAGTTTTTGGGCGGTTTCGGCGACTGTTTTCTGAACATGTTTCAGCTGCCTTGGTCCCATTTGGGATTTCTCCCTCAGGCATCTCCTGCGTGAACAGTGAACGGCTTCAAAAAGATTGGGGTGTTGAAGAACGAACCCTCATGGTCACATGAAGTCACATGTGTCCTTCCGCTCTTGAACCTCTTTCTCCCGCATGGCGGAATACATCAAATTTTCTTCTTTCAGCTTCACAACCTTGGAACCCCAACCGCAGCCCTAACATGTTTCCACGGAAGGACGACCGTCAAAACGGCCGAACGGCTGAGACGGCCGGACCACCGTATCATAGCGGCCGCCTTCGAACTTGACTTCGTACCTATCGGCCTGACGGGTGGGAGCTGGGAGGGTGTCGGTGTCGTCGAGGTTTTCCTGTCGTCCGCCCGCCTCGGGGTAGAACTTCATCACGCGAACGATTTTGCCTCAAACGACCATGAGGTGTTTAAGTTACAAGAACATATGACTATGCCGCAGCCTTAGCCTACTAAGCTTGTGGCCGTTGTAATCTGGTTTGCTTTTGACACCAATGACTTCCATCAACCTGAGACTTCTCAGGTCAACGTTCACTTATCAACTCGTCTCAGGCGCGTGCGGATCTGTCCCTTTCTCTCTTCCTCTCTCCATCTCTCAAGGCTTTGAGGTGCCAGGCTCTCCAATTTGGAATTTTGCATCCTTTTCCGTCTTCTTGGGTATTTCTGTCCCTGCCGAGCGAAGAAAATGCTTGTTAACACTGTTCAGGTTTGCTTGGCAACTTCATGGGCATCACATCCAAGTGCAGCTTACAAATCTTTTCCACGCGCTTGATTGCGAAAGCCAAACGTCGCACGTGCCGGCGCTTCCATATCTTCTGGGCCTGGAATTCCTAGATGCCTGCTGCTCTCAGCCAGGCGACAAACCCTTCTCCTGGCACTTTGGACACATGTCCATCTCGCAGCAGCTGCAGTGGAAGTAGTATGGTCCAGAAACCACCAGATCTTCCTCACCGCACACATCGCATTGGGGCGCCTCTCCAGTTTCTTCATAGGGACCTCCATGCAGATTGCTGATCCACACGCCCATATCTTCATGGCAGCTAGGACATGCATTTGGCCGCCCTGCTTCATGGCGTGGTCCACAGGCAACACATTGGCAGTAGAAGAGCCAGCCCTCAGCCAGTGTGTCCCTTCGTACCAGCCGACTGTTCTTGTGGGTTTCATTTTCTTCGATATAGCTGATGGTCAAGGCATCCCCAGGGCCTAAGTGGTGCAATGCCAGGAGTGTGAATTCTACACCATCCTCTTGGACGTTGATGGTGTAGTCGCAAGCAGGGCTACAGCTGTGGTTGCATAAGGATGGCAGTAGAAATATGGCCATCGTGCCATTAGCATCACCAACACTGAATGCATTGTATTTCCAGACTCGGGAGAGTTCAGTAAAAAGGGGAAGATGCCTTTCAGGAATCGAAAAGTGCCGAAGAATGCTCAGTGCAGTTGTATCTTGCAAGCCAGCTTCGGACTGAGATATTCCAGGTGCTCGCTTAGCAATGTGACTTGGCTGACACAAAGGGAGAAGTTGCTCATATGCCGCGGTACAATCAACATCAACTCGAAAATCCTCAGCGGTATCAGATGTATCAGGCACCAATTCGCTTAAGGCTGCACAGTAGCAGGAGTGAGGCAAAAAGCAGGGATGTGGCAATGCTTTGCAGAAAGCTTCCACCCCTTCACACCTGCTGGTGTGCTTATGCACCTTCGCCGCCTTGCAGCGATAGATCGCATCTCCGAGCGCAAAGGCTCGGAGCACTTCCAGACCTAAGCCCTCAACACCCTCGGTGACTCTCAAACGATTCAACGCCCAGCACGGATCTTTCTCCAGAATCTGAGTGAAGGTGCTGTATCTTGACTCGTTCATCTTGGGGCCGCGGATGGCCAAAAGGCATCTTTCCTTCCAAGTGCTGGAACGATCTGTTTGGCTAGTCTGAGTGCAAAAGGGTCAAAACGTTGACCCTTACGGATTAAGACATAACAGTTATTTAAGCATACAACACCACTTGGGGCATATCCTCTTCACTGTCAGTGAGTGCACGTTTCATCAAGCCAGACCTATTCAATATGTCCTTTCGAGCCAAGACATCCGCGGCTCCCGCGGCTCTCCTTGAAACGGTCTGTGGTGGGGAAACCCCACCTTTTTGCACTCGGTGAACTTCTTCCCAAAGAACGTGGCCGCGCCTTGATATCCTGTGAACACATTGGCTTTTGCATTGGCCTCGTGGGAGGCGCCATCCACCAACAAAGCGATCCCAACAAACCCCGGCGTACAAACGGGACACGTGCCGTGCTGGATCTCGACGCGACGTCCAAGGTGGCCATGGCACACCGCCAATACCTGCCTGCTTCAGTTCGCGGTCTTCCTTCACTTTCCGAGCGTGGAGTGCCAGTGGTCTTGGTTCAACCTCAGAATCTGCATCCATGACCGTAGCCGCTTATTGGTTGTGGTGCACAGTGCTCCGTTCGCCTCTCGTTCGCAACAATGTCGGCAAAAGAGGTAGTACTCACGGCCTCACGCATGGGACCACTCAGTCTTCAAGACTTCACTTCTATGGTTTTCACTGTGAACAGTTGAAAGTGTAGAATGACCAGCATCGAGATGATGGAAAACCACATGTATAATATAGAATTACCATATATATATTATATATATATGTGTGTGTGATACCAAAGGTTTTGTTGCAGGCCTTCACCTCCTTCCTGCAGGAAGTCCCATCCAGCTCTTCCTTTGTTCTTCTCCTACGCGTTCTTCCCCACATCAACGCACACGGTGAGAGCTCTACAGAACGAGATGTGCTGACATCTCGGTTAATTATGCCAGCATAGACCCCAAATCGAAAACACATGAAACCAATATTTGCGGGCGCCCTGCAGCGGCACCTCCATTACTGCCCAGCGGTATCCGGGGATTTGTCCAAATGCCGGTTATTTGTACTGGACTTTGGCAATGGAGGAGTCGGAGGAGTGTTCCCGTTCCCATGACCTCACCTGAATCAAATGTTCGAAGACTGTGGGGTCATTCGACCTGGCGCGAAATGAGACTCTGTCAGAGCTGGTGCAAGTCATGGCAAAAAGCAGCGCTATCTGGGTGGCTCCCGTGAGACACCACACCTTGCGTCGTCGTGGTTGGTATACCAACATAGTTTGATGATAGGATCATGATTCCATCCACGATTTTTTTTAGATGGATGGATGGTATTGAATGATCTTACTGCATTCAGATGTGTGCAGTTGATGTCATTTGATGTCCACACTGCTGACTTGTGTCAACTTTTCTTCAGCCGTTCTTGCCTGTGCACGTGCTTCGCAGTCTTCTCGATTGTTTCGACCAAGCTATTGTCCTGGACATGTCATGTCATGTCCATGGCTGCCCTCTGGTGGAATCATACCTCCACTGATGTCCTTTGGAAGCGGTGGTGCTTGTTCATCTACCGTCCCTATCCTGAGTCGCAATCATAGCTCCACGTGAAATCATTGGTTGGAATGCCGAGACCCACGCTTCTTCTTTCGACGCTGCGCTTCCTTGGCCTCATCTTGACCTAGCCTGGCAAAGCAAATCCAGTTCATCCCACCTTCCGAGCATGGAGAAACTCCATAATCAAACAGGCACGACCATCCGGCCATGAAGCTGTACGAATGCCTCCAAAGAAGGCGCAAGTCCCAACAGGTGGGACATGGTGGGACACTTGGCATGACTAGTAGCAAGAAGCTACTCGCTACTAGCAGCAAGGACGTTACTAGTAGCAAGGCACACTAGTAGCAATGCCCCTTTCCAGATCTTTCAAACCTTTTCCATCAGTGTGCATGACTTGCCTTTCTGAGTTGGGCACTTGTAATCCCAGTCCTCCCGCCGTTTGAAGTCAAACGACCCATCCCAGCGGTACATTTTGGATTGATCAGCCTGCATCCATTGCAGTGTCGCCGGTGAAGAGGGCTGCAGAAACACTAAGAACTGAGGGCCCAGCCATGATTGACCACGCAAGAGAGCTGCTTGGCAGCCAAAAACTATGTGTCTTATTTAACTAGCCAATTTCTTTCTGATTGCTGTTTGGTTGGAAGAGTTGTCCCGCCCCAAAAATAACTATCCAAAACCTCTCAGGAGCAGGTGACTTTTTGCGTTTGTTTGCAAATGCACGGGCCAACGTTGGCTTAAGTGATGCTCCATTCATGTGAATCGCCGCTACGCTTGAGGTGACAATTCCCACGGCATAATGCATGCAGAACAAGGAAAATCCACACACATATATGCTCCAGTTTCCACACCCAAATCTTCTCCAACCCATGCGCCCATGCGCCCAGGTCTTCCCTCTTTTTGTTGTCTAAGCATTGCCTTTTCCCTCCATGAGCTCCGACATACGAGCTCAGCGGCAGGTCCGAAGCCTCGGTATGGCGGCAGGCGGGCGTGTTTTGGCGAGCTTGCTGTGGTGCAGTTGTGGTGCCGCCTGTCAAAGTATACACGTCTGCATGGCTCTGAAACTCCCTACGCCCCCATACGGGCTGGAGTCTCCAAGTTCCTCAACCCGTGGTACTCAAAAAGGATACTCAAAACGGCAGGGCTCTCGGGTTCTTGATTTGGAATGTGTCTACCTTATTCTGTTTTCCTGGTGGAGATCGCCAGCCAGCCATGCGTTCGGCCGTTCGGCCATCTCCAATTCGGCAGCGTTCGGTGCGAGCAGCGAGCGCGGCCACCGCACACGTCCACCGAGTGTCAAGTCCGAAAGTGGCTCCGAGTGGGGGTGCACCCCCACGACTGGACATGGCTAACTTACGAATTGCTGTGACATGTTTCGACACTCCGTGAAGCAATCACAGACGTGGAGTGAGGTGTTCACCTGTTTGGTATTTGGAACGTCATCCTTTCGGGGCGCCATCCACTTCCACGTAACCATGATGATTTCAGGGAGTGTACTTGTGTGTGAAGCAGCTGCCCTTCGAGAAGTGCTGGAGGCTTTGACCTGCCTTTTTCTACGCTTGCATTCCGGTGCACCAGTTCAGAAAAGGTCTGCAAGGCAGAGTTCCTGGTTGTCATGGGCTGGGAGGAGTTGTACGTTTGATGTCGTCGCTTGATATCATGTATATTTTATTAGATTACATTAGATTATGTATCAGCGATGAACAGATCTATGCACACCTCATTACAATTCTCATCTCTGACCAATAAATGTACACATATGACATCAGATGACGTTGTCCTGCCCAGAGAAGATACCTGGAACAGCACATTGGCTTGCAGTGGCCCCCCACAGCTGTAGGGCTTCTCGAGCTAGGTTGGGTACCATTTTGCATCTCTGTACATCATGGTTCCCTTCGATCAAGTCACGGCACCATGCAGCTCTCCACATCACATGCGGGAAATAACGTCACAATTGAGCGACATATGGGTGGCCCATTGCTCATCTTCATTCCAACATAACCCAACCAAAAAAGTAACAACATGCCACGCATGCGGAGCCCGCATGCAGTGTGCCCGAAGCAAAGCAAACCGCAGCCGTCAAGCACCAAAAATAGCAGGTTCAGACTTTCTTCTCCAGCTGCGCTCCAACTTAGCTAGGAGTTCCTCACACAGGACTCACTGACCATTCTTCACGACAAAAACATCACACGAGCTCTTCCCCACACAAGGCCAATTCCCGATCGCACCCAAAACTAAGGGGTCAAGACATGTTACGACATGTTGGCCCAAGCTGAGCGGGGTCAAGCTGAGAATCTGGAAAATCACCGATGGGATCTATGATTGGACGACAGCGCTTTGCCTCAGATGCCAGGAGAAAAATGGCGTCCGGTGGCTGAACATGCCGCATGAAACCCCAACAATCCAACTCAATCAACTTAACATGAGAAAAGCTGCAGCTGGAACTGCTTCTTTGGCGCTAAGCCCTGCAAAGTGCATCAAGCAAATGCAGCCTCAGATGTGGGCATGCAGCCTATGTGCACTCTGAAGTGTTCAGACCGACCGCCGCCCCGCGGTTCGACCTTCGCCCCAGTTCCGGCAAGTCGCCAGTGGTTCCGGCACGATGTGCACCGGCTAAACAATGAACCATGACGTTCTCCCCGCTGGCCAAAGCAGCACCTCGGATAGACTAGACCCCACGTTTTCTTGGAGGAGCCGGCAGGTATGGGATGAAAGAACCTGATAGCAAATAAACCGTACGAAAGAAGCAAGCTTCGGCACCGACCCATTCCAGCATTGGCTGAACAAAGCGTGCAGCATCAGCATCCGATCTGACCAGCCGGTGGAAGCGGGAGATGTCGAATCTGTAGTACTTGATCAAACTGCCCGACGTGTTCTCGTGGTAGTTGGGCATGTTGTCAGTACAGTTCACGACATGCGTCACACCGTTTTGACGAAGCAATGCCAGGTTTGAAGCTGCGGTTTGATTGCCAACATAGAAGACTGCCCGCGACTCGGGATGCTGCCAGAGGGCATCCATAGCATTGTATGGCCCACTCGAGATGACTGAAGGGTCCAAGTTCAGCCGTGCCCAGAGCTTCTTGGCCTTCAAACGAATGGTCGGGGCATGACTAAGTGATGTCAACATAATATGTCAACCTGTCCGAATGTTGAAAATGACCGAGCCTCCTCATCAAAGTCTAGCCCATGGTTCGTGGTCTGAGTGACAAAGTAGCCGTTCAACTTGGGTTTGCTTGGCATGGCCTTCCAGGGGCTGATTGCGTGAATGGCCTGCATTCAGAGGAATAAAATTCCACACACATGAACCAACGACAAACGAGGCAATGTTCGGCATTCTTCCAACCGCCTTCCCTAGCAGCTCTTCCAAGCGGTCATTTGGATTCCCCGCTCTGCGGAGGGGAAGCTCCCCTCTCTTGGCTCCCACCATGGCCCGACCCACGGTGGCCGCTGTGGTCTGGCCCATGCGCCCACGGCTAGAGCTCCTCGAGCCGCCGGAGCCGGAGCCGGGCGGCGCTCGCAGGCCGCTCATGGCGATGGTCCTCCCGGCACGGATGGGTCCGACTCTTGGTCCGTCCAACGTGTCAGGAATCTCGCAACTTGAACTGATTTGAGCCGTGTTTTTGAGGAGAAAGCGTCACACCGTGTCACTCTCAGATTTTATGCTGAAGTCACCACAACATGGCTGAGGACTGTGCTCGGAAAGTGGTTCGAGTAGTGACGTCTTTCCTGCAAGGCACAGGGCATAAAAGCAACGCATTCATACAAATCTGCAACACCCTGCCCACGAACCCCCATTGTGCTAGCAAGAAGTGTGCAAGTAAAAGATCGCGATAAGAGTTCATGTTGTACCTGTTGCTTTCGCTTTAACTTGAGGCCAGAGGGGGTGAACGAAAGCTAGCCGGGCTTCCGGTGGTCTGCTGCTGGTGCTGCTGCTGCTGCTGCCGCTGCTGCGCTGGGCGCTGCTGCGCTGGGTGCTCTGCAGGCGCCGGGTCGTCTGCTGCTGCTGCTGCTGGCGCTGGGTGGTCTGCTGCGGCTGCTGCTGCCGCGGCGTTGGGTATGCTGCTGCTGCTGCTGCTGCTGCTGCCGCTGCTGCGCTGGGCGCTG